ACCCGAAGTCATTAATCGCGCATTCGCTCTCTCTCTCTCTCTCTCTCTCTCTCTCTCTCTCTCTCTCTCTCTCTCTCTCTCTCTCTCAGGCGTCTCTTCGCTACTTTTTACTTTTCGGTTGCGGGGGCATTGGATTATTACCGTTTAAAATTGACACGGGAGTCAGGGAGCTGCGCTTCTTATAAAGTGTAATCGCGCGAGTCGGCCGCGATGAAGAATTTTCCATTCAATTTCCCGAGGCAATGGCGAAAAGCTACGTTGACAGCGCCGCTGCGTCCGTTAACTTGGGCGTTGAACGTTTTCTCGGCTGCAACGCGATCGGATTCTCCTTAAGAGTTGGCAATGCGCACGTATAACTCAAATGTTCCTTTGAATTTCTTATCGCGAGCCGAATATCTGATTATTTCCGAGAATGCCAACGGCTCGTTTATATTATAATTTAAGCCGTGCCTAATTGACACGTGCAATGCGCTAGATGCCAGTGTTAGAAGAAAAGTTTTTCCAAAACAATATTGATATTTTTCTTTTTATTCTAAGTGAATAGGTATTTTTGTGTTAATTGTTTACATGTGCCATCGCAATTATTGCTCATTATGATCATGGACCAATAAATATTTTCTAATTAGTCATTATTCTTATTTAAGTTCTAAGCAGATTGGGTTAATTTTTTTTTCTGGGGATCATATATAATTTAATAATTAATGTAATATAAAAGATTGTAAAGGTAGCTCAAGTCGTATTACTATGAAGTTGAGACTTTCATAATAAATTGTTTCACTTACTTGTACGTTTATACAGCATAGTAATCCTTTAAAATTAATAGTAATAATGAATTTTCGATAAATACTTTGACTTGAATTATATTTAAAATTATGTTAAATTAAATAAATAAATAAATAAATATATATATATATATATATATAAAATAAAAAAAAAAATAAATATATATATATATATATATATATATATATATTTATGAATATTAAAGATTTCTGTAAAATGAATTTGGTGATATATTTTAAAAGGTCTCTGATCTATTTGCTTAGAATTTAAAATACGTTACTATGTTTAGAAATATTATATTCGTCTTTTATGGTGAATTCACAGAGTATAGTTAAAATGGCAAATATTCGAGTCTATAATAATCGAGTTCAATCGTATTCGCGAAAGATATTAAAGATAATTTTTTATGATTTTACTTTATTTCTTTTTTCGCTGTACGTTCCGTCCACATGCGTATACCATGGCAATATGAATTTCCGAAAATTTGCTTTACGTACATTTAAATTTATGATACGCGTGAGGTTAAATGGATAAAACGAAAGCGCACACCCGCAGTCTTCTTTTGAGCTACGAATGCGGAAGTTGAAGGTGTGTGTTTCGGGATATCGGATCGAATTCACATCGCACGATCGAGCGCCTTTCGACTGATTGGCAGTAAAACGCATTGCGCGCTTAACAATATTCGGCTATCGCTGGCGCCTCGCATCCCAAGATCTCAGAGGGGCTGAGACGTTTTCCAGTTGAATGAGAAGAGGTGAGAAAGTTTGGCGTACGGCGGGCCCATGAGGTTTTACTGTTTACGCTTAATTGGAGGCCTAATTCTCGTTTATTTTTTGCGTGCTTTCGCAAATGGAAGGGCGATCATTAGAAAAACGAGCATTGAATATTATTCTCTTTCGTCCTTTGGCTTCTCTCATGAGCCGCGTTGTTTTAAAATTGTAGTAATAATCCATTTTCTGACGACTTCGCGTTTACTCTTTGGGAATTTATGTTTCCTTGGATGGCTTTTTCCGCCTACGAAGGAATTTTAACTGGAATAGGCACGAGAGAGGCGGAAAAAATAGACGAAACCCTCAGTTTCTCGCATGCGCGAGATATAGTCTGATTTATGGTGCAAACAGCAAAGGTTATCCAATGCTGCTCGGTAAATTCAGTGATTCATAGGGAGGCGGTCTTTGTCTGCCTCAGATGAAATACAAAAATTTTTTACCGCATCGTATGCTCGACTGTTTTTTCGATTCTTTTAAGTACTTTTATTCCGTCGCATTTATGCGGTTATAATTAGTCCTCGAGTGAAACTTTTTTGTCCTTCTTGTTCAAGTAAGTTTGAGTAAATTGTAAAGCTTATTTCGAAAATGCAAATGAATGGCAGTCGTCTCTTTGTTGTGCCGGGAAGAGTTATTCCGCAAAAAGGAAATATATTTAACAATTTTCCCATTTTTCACAAAGGTATATATATTTCATTTTGTTTAGCCAGCTAAAGGTTCATTTTTCCGCGAAATTTATGTTGCTTATTTTTTATTTCACAACTGGAGGCATCACGATGAGACTCACCTCCGGAAATATGTCGGGATAACTCATTTGCCAAAGGTATGATTGGACTAATAATAAATAGGCGAGATTAGCATTTTAAATTTTACAAAGTCCTTTAACTTTAAAAAGATATCTGTCTGCACAGTTTTAAATAAGTTAAGGAAGCTCCACCCTCTGGCGACGTCAAACGTTAAATTAGTTAGATTCCGACAGGATCGCCAAAACTTTCATCCTTTTCGCAATATTTTGAGCGCCGTCCGAAGACGGTGGCGCGACATCGAAACAACGAAAGCTTTAAAGTACAGACTGATAAAGACGGAGAAGAATAAAGAGCGAGCGGGAGAAAAGAAAAAAGGTAAATCAGGCGTTAACGAGGAAGTGAAAAGTGAGGAAAGTGAGGGAGTGGTGATGAGATAGTGAAGTAGCGGAAGAAGTTGCAATAAAGATATGGAAAAAAGTGCGAACACCGGGGACCAATCAGTATGCAACCATTGCTTATTCTTCTTTATTTCTTTATTTCTTTACGGTCTTTCTATCTTCTTTATCAATCTCCTGCAACTTTCTTTCTTTTGTTTTCCGCACTTACACCGAACTTTCAGCTAACTTACATCTAACTTACAGCTACTCTCACTCGTTTACACAAATGTATGCACGTCTTCTTCAATCGTCGTGCATTTGTCCCTAGCGCTTAGGTAAGTTGCTATGAGCTTTTCTACGCTTTGGTTACTTTTGCGCTGCTTTCCTTTCTTACGCGTCGGTCTACGATTGGTTGGCGTTGTTGATTACGATTATATGTTCTTACGCGACTGTACATTCTCGTATATCTCTCTTGGCTCGCTATTAAATCGAAACTACGAACAGTGGCGTCGAGGTTGAGACAAAAAATTGGAATGGACTAGCTACGGCTTTGGGCTTCCGTATCCTCGTACATGTGAAAACTTTCACGGGTAGGATGTGCAACAAACTTCATAGTTTCGAAAACAGATTGCGATGTAGATTTTTATATATTCAGAAAACTGTTGGTTGCAATTGTCTGAAGTTTTCGTTCTCGTCTTAGAATGAAATTGAAGTAGAGTCGATAACAATTATCAAACAATTGGGACTTTTACACATGAAATGTTGTATAATAACAAGTAGTGAATACAAATATTTAATTTTATACTTGTTGTAGTTGGCTTTATTAAACATAGAGTTAAAAAAATATGAAAATGTAAATCTTCATTTAATAATAAATTCTAAATATAATTTGCATGCAAAAAGCCGCACTAAAAGTGTTTAAAATTAAAATTTGTTGCAAAATAATTATAAATAATTGTATATAATAGTTATAAATAATTATTAAACAGTAATTCTTTTATTTGAAATTGAATCTTGGACATTGCTATTTATTGTTATAAAAATGCAAGTATTTTCATGTTTTAATTAAGAGTCTTCGTCGAATTTATATTTGACTTCTTAAGTAAGTAATATTAACATCCTTCCTATATATTATATTATTTATATAAGCTTTTATCTAACAAGAACTGTATTTTAAGTTTTTCTAACTATCTCTTATTGATATCGATATAAAAAGTATTCACGTAATAAAAATTTAAACAATAAATTAATATGTAATTTAGTTAGATCAAACAGTCTTTATACTTCTTTATTGACTCGGTATATTTACCAGAAATTTTTTACCAGAAATGTTTAATTGCTGTTTGCTTTATAAATCATTTATTCCATTTCAATTACAATAATTTTCAATTTATTTATTTATAGTGCTTGAAATTAATAATTTTATAATTACTAATGAATACGTATTTTATAATTTGTAATCAATGTAAGATGCAAGTTTATTTTAAACTATATATATAGCATATAAGCATTTAATTTAAAAATATTATCAAATTTATCGATAATTTATAGATATGTTTATAAATTATAATTATGACATACAAATATGATTGTAATTAAGTCGTTAATAATATTAATTATTTCATCATCGTTTATAAAATGTCTTCACTTAATGATCGTGTATCGAGTGATCATGTATGAAGTAAAGAGTATTTCATTTTATGCTTAACGAGTCACTAATTCCATTTATTCGTACAAAATTATATTTCATCGATAAAAAGTCATCCACGTAGTGTTTAACATACAATATTTTTGCTCTATAATTTAACGAGAATTTTTTGCGGAAATTTTAATGGTGTGCAAGCGAAGTAAATTCATGCAGTAATAATAGGCCAGGCACTGAAAGATGAAAGTCATTAGCAACTTTTAATTTATTTTGGTAGAATTCAACAAATACTTCTTCCAACATTCTTATATATTAAGTTTCTTAACCTTAAGAAAATAATTAAGACGGACCAATTGGAAAATGCTTGTTAAGTGAATCTCTATCGTGCTGTGGAATGTTTGAACGTAGAGAACTAAACTACGATTTGTGGCTATTTTCGAAAATCTTACTACCCAAGAGCTCCTGGAGTTATTTAATTTTATACTTAAGTAACTTATTTATTTAATTATACATTATTGTAATTTTTATTATATTTAGCAACATTCATTGCTATTTTAATATTTAATAAAGTTATACGAGGCTAAATTCATTTTCATTATTTGTTGGATCGTCTCGGGTCGGGTGCATCATCGTTCCGATTTTGCTGAAATTGTTTGACTTTTTGTATGCATGTTATACTCACTTGTATGACACGAGATTTGTTGAGTAAGTTGTTACCATTAGATTGGTATTTCTCCATATCCCTTAGGATACCGCGTACACTAACATCATCAACATCTACCAATCGAAATGCAGTGATGTTGACGAAGTTGTACTTGAAGTCCTCCAGATCGAACGTTTCAATATCCTAAGTAAATAGAGCCATGTATTTGTTACACAGGTTAATATTATGGAATTTAAATGTAATAATTAATTCATGTTTGTGATACCAGATTTTTATAAGATAATATTTTTGCATCTATAATTAGAGTACCTACAAGAATATAATAAAATAATAAAGAAATTCGTATTATTATTAAAATATTTTGCTTAAAATTTGCTGAATACAATCAGAACTATATCTTGTGTAATTACCGAAGGAATAGATTTTAGTTTTATTTTTATTTATTGTAATTATAGAAAGTAAAATTTAGATTTTTGTCAAGCGTGTTGAATTGATGTAATTTCAAGGAGTTCTTACAGAATTTTGATATTCTGTATCACACGTAATAACAATAAGTGACGTCTTCGTGAAATCATTGTGTGTCTGTTTATAGAGTTTCTTTTAACGATTATAGAAACTTTTCGATCAAAAATATATAAAAAAAATGTTATCTACAGTTGTTTATTGTCATGTTCAAAACTACATTTAAGTAGTATGCATTGTAAGGAAATCATTTAATACATAAAATAACACTAGTATATAAAACAAGTGATTTCAAGAAAAAATATTTATGTAAAATTGTTCAATGAGAATTCTAATTAAACATTTATTATTATTCTAATAAATTAAAATTTTCGTGCTTAATATATTTATTTTAGAAAATCAATACGAAAATCAGGGTATGCTAATTGAATAGAATATTAATAAAAAGGAAATATTTGAAGAGGAATATCGTATTACGTCTGCATTTTGTTGGAGTACCGTTAATATTTTACTTACAAAAGTGGTGAAGAGGTAGTGATAGTTGTAATCATTCATTTGCAGTTCAAGAATCTGTAAATTGAAAAACAATAAAAGCCATTGTATCAAAATAATTTAAATGCATAACCGAAAAAAAAATGAATAAGAAATTAATATTATTTACCATACGAAGGAAGTGATGCATATTCCCAGTTTTTGTATCAACGATGAGATTCCGAATTTCTTTGGCTTTGATTTCTGTGAGGACCTGCCTATAAGAATCGAGATCAGTTTGTCTGAGATATACTTCCATATCCTGTGACTTTCGTGATCTCACAAGTTCTCGAAGCCTTACCAAACCTGTAAAAAACAGCAGAAAGTTTTAAAAATGAGAAGTTCGATATTTTAATTCTGAACGGTGTAAAAGCCGTTAATTTTATATTATCCCGTTTTTAATGTTGATATTCAGTATGGTATATTGAATTATTATTTATGTAAATTTGTTCAATATGTAATTATGAATTTCAATTTTTACACTCTCATCGGTGAAAGTTTGTATTATGATTAAAAGTCTAGTGACAGGCTATCGAAAATTTTCTATGGATGAATATTCGTCTCCTATGCAATACAATGATTATGAATATAAGGAAGCTCTCTCTCTCTCTCTCTCTCTCTCTCTCTCTCTCTCTCTCTCTCTCTCTCTTCCAATTATATTTTAAAAACAAGAATTAGTTCATTTTTATTTTCTTATCCTATAGTAAATAGCCATCAAGAGTATTTTATTTCTAATATACTAAAGTATTTAATAAACGTCGAAATTGCTGCTCGTTAAGCTTATATCGATGAGAATATTGCATAATAATTTTAACCCCGATATTGGATATTACTAACATACGTCACAATATAAAAATAGTTAAAAAAAAGAAGAAGAAGAAGAAGAAGAAGAAGAAGAAGAAGAAGAAGAAGAAAGTAAGTGTATCGAGGATAAGCAGCCTGACAGCCCAGAGATGATTTTTCGTCGCCTTGGCATAAAAATAGTCTCGGGGAAAGCCTCGTGAAAGCTCATTCGAGTGCAGTTACATTTATATCCACGTACACTTGGAGCAGATCTGGTGGAAGCACAAAAGGAGGACGAGCCCCGATAGCATATTCAGCGGTATCAGTTGCACCCCTTCGAATATCGGAGATACAGCGAACGATCAGACGTCAGTGTATTTCATCTCTTTGGGCTCATGAGAGACGCCGAGCTAAAGATAATCAAACATCGTAACATCTTTTAACTAGTCCTGCATCGATCGAGCACACCCACCCCGCGATCCCTCGCGCCACTTTTCCATCTTATTAAAAGGCCAAGAGAGCGGGGCAAGAGTGAGGGGTGGGGGTGATGTGTGTGAAACCCGTGAATAGCGACGACCCGATGGAATCAATACCTGCAAGCGCGCCTAAGTAATCATGGTATCATCTCAACTTGAAGGTCTTCGCACGAGCGCGTACTATTCTTGCGTGACTCGTTGCTGGACTGGAAGGTTCGGCTCCCAAGTCCGGAATTCATTTTCCTACTTGGTTTTTCCGCATTCTCGTCGTGGGACAGGATGGGAATAACACCCTTTCAGCCTTTTCGCTCTGATTTTCCGATCGTACTCTCAACAGTTATTAGCTAGAGGTTTCAAGTGTAGTCAAAGTCATATTGCGACAGATTTGCAATTCACGGATATACACGGGAACAAGACAAAATGGGTTTCGCCGAGCTTTCAGTAGAATTTTGTGTATTTTTCTTTTGGCTCTCTCTCTCTCTCTCTCTCACTCTCTCTCTCTCTCTTCCTTTATTACTGTTATCTCTCATCCCCTTATCTGTCATTCTCACTTTTTATTAAGATACAAAAGCATTTATCGTACTTAAAAAAATATTTTATTGTCTGTCAATTATAAGTAAAATTTTTTTTTATCAACTTGTGAAATAAGCCATTTTAAATTATTATACTAAACCTACAATGATCGTTGAAAGAGGATTTTAAATGCATTTATTCATGTATTTTTGTAATTTTTTATTTTTGAGTGTATTTGTTTAATTTTGCATATCGTCATGTATTCACTAAACTTTAAGAAATCTTTAATTTTTACATTTTTTTCTTTCAGGGTCTAGTACTTCTTATATTTCGAGCACAATTAATTCCATGAATATTAACGATTGCATTATGCAAAATTATATAATATAAATAATATAAATTTAATTTAACGTAGAATTAAAAAAAAAAAAAGATAAAATAATTCGAATCCTTTAATATAAAATACAATATTTTTATAGTTTATATAATTTATTGTTTAATAATACAAACTTTATTCCGATCAATTTCGATGCTTACTTTAACAAATTAGAACGCTGTATTTTCAATATATAGAACTATAAAAAATAATCATTTATTACCAAATATATCATAAGATTATTATGAAAAATAAAATAATTTTTTTAAAAAATTTCATCGAATCAATGCTATGTCTCTTTTCGCTCGAGGTTTTAAATAATGATTTTCTTTTATTGTCTCACGTTAGGATATTGTTATGAAAAAAAAAGAAAATAGTTGATGAGTATAGGATTCAAATATTTAAGCAAATATCTTGATTCGGTTGTTTGAAACTTTGAAAAAGCTTTGAGAAACGTCCATACTTTCGATTACTCCATACGGGGAACATCGTTACCAAAATGGAGCAACGTTGCTCTTTAAATTTTAATTGAAACACAACGTACATAAAAATTTTAATAAATATGGCTAGAAGCTGTCGGCGTGTAGCCATATAGGGTAATTGAGATAATTGGCCATTTCATCCGGTGCAGCTTGTCCTATTGCAATTGGTCGGGGAGAAAGAGATAAGGAGAATTAAGACTTGGGCATTTGTTCTTGAGGTCGAAGAAGAGACGATAATTTCTTCAGAGATTGGAGAGAGGCAGTTTACTGCTTCATCCGCTTGTACTGGCTTCTTACCACCTGAAAATCGCAAGCACAGAGGCTGTGCAGTCTCCTAATACAGTTATTGCAATGTTTTTCCACGTTTCAAATGTTTCAAAGCTTAGTGTACCCAGGACACTTTTTATTTTAATATCATAGACGCTTTTTTAATTCGCGTTATTATTGTAATATTTATATTTCGTGTTTTTCATATATAAGTATTTTAGCTCCTAGCAAGCAGCAATTTTATCCGTAGAGTTTACTTTAATTTAGTTTCACACATACTATTGCCAATAAAGTAACCAATATAAATAACCAATATACTTATATTGGCTTTTCACCATTTCAACATTAAAGCATATCGCTCTTTATACATATGGCAACTAGTCGTACGATACAACAGAGAAATATTGATAAAATCTCTTTTGAAAATTGAAACAGAATAGAATATTTCCTAATTAAATGAATAAATAAGTCGCAAGCAATTTAACGTATAAGTTTTGAAGTTTCATATGTTTTAATATTATGTGCATTACATGGTTTAATACCTTTACGTTTCGGTCGTAGGAAAAAAGAAATCGAAAAATGTGCTATAAAAATATGTTATTAAATTCTCATATTATACAGAGTTTGTTAAACATGGAATGTCACTTATTTTAGTTATTTTCTATGCGTTTTTATGATATAATGTTGAAATATTTTATCTGGTCATGCAATAATATGTTTGAGCTTTTTAGAACTTATCGCCGATAATGGAGTAGCCGGTCTTCAGGAATTTATCAAAGTAATTGTTTATTTTTAGATTTTACAATTCAATGTCCGCGCTTTCAGAGCTCTGCATAAGCCTGCTCACGTCTTCATTAAATCCCAAACATATGTGTTATCTCCTGCTTGGCTCATACGTCCTTTTTGTTCTTTATCATATCCCGTGTAGCGAATGTCAGAGACGCATTAGAGCATCAAATTATCGTAAAACTAGCGCGGACGCGATGCATATCGCGCATTTCCCAGACTGCGAGGCACTTGTGCAAATAAAGTACGCATTTCACGTTATGAAGCTTGGGGTTATCTTCGATGAAGTCGTAAAAAGTCAGAAAGAGAAAGAGAGTAGTACGATGTGGAGGGGGATGGAAGTAGTGGGGATTTCTCGACTCTGTGCATGTACGTAAGGTACCACGTCGACTGCTCGCCTTACCTGGTAATCGAATATGTAACGGATGGATACTCTTTTTTCCCTCGCCGAATGACTACGAGAACTCTTTTCTTTATGATTACGATCCCTCTCGTACACCAGCCGGCCCTTTTTTTCTTCCCTCGCTCATCCTCCACATGTACAAATACATGTTTCTTTTACTATTTATGGGTTTCAGAGATATAGCGATTTCTCGTTTCATTTTCTTTTGTGCCGTTTGGTTAGGTATTTTACGTTTCTCGCTCTCGTAATGAAAAGCGACCATTCTGAACTCATTTAGAGAAGAGTCGAAAACACTTAGAACTTAGTTTTGCCAACCGTGATTATTTAAGAGAACCGTAGAACAAGTGTAACCATTGTTTTAATCGAGTATTATGATTATTCGTAAATAATTTATTCGCCGTCTAAAGAGAGGAGACAAATCGAGCGCTTAAATGGTCGAGATTATGAATATCCACATCGTTTAAGAGAACAAGAGGGGATGACAGATATATAGATAGATAGATAGCGGGGGGTGGGGTGGAAATTGTTGCAGACGCAAAGTGAAAAGTCTAAATGATTCCCTTAAGATCGACTTGCTTGTTCAGCGCTTTGAAAATTTTCAGCAACAACTCGACTACCAGCCCAGGCGAATCAAAGCGTCGATCGGAATGGTGGACACAATGGGTCTGGAACAAAGTTCGTTGTCGATTCGCCGAGCGTACGTGCGGATGTAGAACTGCCCAGGAGATTCCGCACGAGTGATCAAAGGTTCCATGAGACTGGTTAATATCGTTGTCACTGGGTGTTCCACGTGGGATACTCCACTATAACTGCAGCTCCCTTACGTACTTGCAAAGTGTCTCGAGAGCTCTGTTTCTTTTCTCAACCTGCCCCGCTTTTTCTACTTTCGAGGGAATGGATTTTTCATGGCCGGTCCCGGATTTAAAGTTTTTCCAAGTGCTGATATATGTGCAGGAAAATAGGATTGCACTTTATACTTTCCCGATGGTTCTCGGCCGAATTTATCGACCTGTTAATACCATTATCAAAGGACTTTAATACACGTATGTTTTACGGATTGTATGTGGTCATATATCCATATAGATAAAAAAGTTTCTTCGATGAAGTGTAATTTGAAAAGTTTAGATATGGTTCGTGATACAATACTCTTTTTGAATACTTGAAAATTCTATATTTATGATGAAGTAATTCTATATTAACATATCGAATTGCTTGAAAATTGATCGTTGTATAATCAATGGACTCGTTTACATTTTCTAAAGCTATCAAGAATCTCAAAATTGTGGAGTAGGCAATTTGTGGTGTTTTACAGCATGCTAAGTAATCTTTCTTTTAAAAATTTTTCTTTGAAGGAAGCGAGAACAAGGCGGATGATGGAGATTCGAAGGTAGGCGTATGTGACGGTAATAAACTGAGTTTTAATTAGTCGACGCGGTAGTGGCGTTAGAAGAATAATAATACGTATAAAGAAGTTGAATGATCAAATAAATATAGATTTATGTACTTTGTCCCTTAATACGAAATTTATTTATTGTATCTGGTAATTAGTTATTTAGACATTTGTGTCTATAATGTTTCTCGTAGGTGCGAGACTGTTGGTATTTTTGCATACGCGAGCACGCATTGGAAGAGGAAAAAATGGAAAAGCATGGCGCCGCGTCTCGAACAAACCCTTATGAATATGCATCTTTGTACAAATGCTAGAGGTGAAAAGATTTTACGTCGCTCGAGCATTCCAAGACTCACTTAACTGTTTATAAGAACTTCAAAGAAAAATCTTTAATCATTTTACAAGTTGCCATTTGTTATTTGTTAAAAATAAAGAGAGCATCCGATGCTTTAAGTAGTTGAAAATTTCTATAAAATTAAATTATTATGGTTATTGAATGACCGTGTATGAATAAAAATAACGTATTCATTATGGAAATGCATTATTTGTACAGTATTTTAATGAAGTGAATTGAAAATACAATAAGGTAGGTAGTTCCAAATAAGCAAATGAATCATTTGTAATTTCAATTTTTTTTTAAATTGTAAATCATACTTGCTTATATAACTATTGTATAATTTTACATAAAAAATTACTCGTATAAATTTAATTGCCACGTTCTATTATTAAATTCGCGTTGAACGTATTTGTAAATAAAAATATAATAATTAATATAGAAGTCCGATACGAGTTTAATAAATACATTTAAATTAGATGGTAAATATTTCGAATAAAAATAATTACAAATGTTAATAATATCAAGCATCCGTTTAACCGAATTCTTCGAAAATTATGACTTTATACATATAATAAACTTTTATTTCTAATAAATGGATATATCGATAAAAAGAATTTAGCATTTAGCTATGTTAAATGTAGTCAAAAATAAAATAAATGTACTTTAATTAAAGAATAACTCTTATCTTGATATTAATTTACTGACGAACTAATCGAATACATATTGACTGACTCGACGAAGCTTTCTAAAAGAACACGCCAACGAGTGCTGAAGTGTAAAAGTTAATTTGACGAGAAAAAAATATACGTCGTTGCGACGGCGTATACTTCATTCCTACTTGCGTCAGTGCCAAGTAATAAGAGTCGAGTGCGAGAAACTCAAATAATTGACCTACAATATTAAAGTATAAAACTGCTCAATTCTTCAAATATTAAGGATGAAAAAATCACGGGTAATGAGGCTGCTCGTTCATTAGCATTCGTACGAAGTATGTAATTAACATCGTTAATATTATGGATTGTTACCGTAATCGT